TCGGCCACGGGCGGGAGACAAGGAAGCTGTTCGCCTCTCACGTCGCACATCGCCTAGGTGGTTAACTGTGTTGCTGAGGTTGTCTGGTAGAAAATCAAGGCGAGTTTTGCAGGTAAAACGATTGATGTGCATTTCGATACCTTAAACAGGCTCTTCTTAAGCTAGTTTGCACGCTTCTACGCCCCAGCACCCTGCGGTACGCCCCAGATCACCTGGTGTGCACTGATCTGAAATGTACTCCTGCACCTCTCGTGGTGTACTTTGGTATCTCTCGGTGTACTTCGGTAAGCTGCTTCGAGTTGATCGAGGCCGCTGAGGGCCATGCTTTGACATCTGTTCGAACCTGCCTTGCTAAAATTTCCAGTGCTCCCCGCAAGGCAAGTAAAGTTTGAAATTGCTATGCGTAGGCTCTTGAAACCTCCCCTTGGATTAATTTCACTGTAAATTGTTGTGCTTTATGTCCTCAATGCTCCCATCCGCATCAGCTGCGAGTTACGACAACCATAGTAAAGGATAGTTGGGAATGGACTAGAAAGGATATGAACAGGACAGAGGTACGAAATGAGCACTGGGAGCAGCGGAGTATAAATAGTTGATTTTAGTGGTCGACAAACACGGACTTGCCATTGGTCAGCCATTCGATGGCTGCCACACACCACGCCTCATTGTGCCTTTCCAGAGAGACTGCCGCGTGAAGATCGCTCCGAGCTCGTTCCTGCCGGCTTGGATAACTAGTGGTTGCAAGGCAAAATTTCTGCGCGAGGATTCATGGGAATCTGGATGAGAAAAGCATCCATGAGTTCTTTTCGCGGGTCGCCGAGAAACAATCTATTTTGCATGAATGAATCGATGCATGTAAGTTGAGAAAAGGCATGGAACCAAGTGTCTTCACAGTCGCTCACGTTAGACCTTGTTCATTTGATAATAGTACTTTGTAGTACAGCAGCTCATGCCCAGGGTGGTCGGGAGGCGTGCCGTATCATACGGGCCAGCACATTCATCTCATGGAGAGGTGTCATGGCAAGTTCCTCAAGGTACAAGCGACGTAGCGAAATTTCCATCTACGTCGGAACCGCGTCCTACCAGGGTCATCACACTCCGCCCTCGAACATCAGGGGTCATTGGACAATCGGCCAGCCCGCGGAATTTGACTTGCGTTCTGCACCAGGATTGAGCATGCAGTCACCTGCAAGCTTGTTCGTTTGTTTGTTTTGTATTTAACGCCTTAGCGACAAGGGCGCAGCCGCCCTTGCGGCAGACCTCCCGAAGGGTATGTGGCGTGGAGGGCCGCAGGCTCTAGCTACATACTCTGCAGTACACGCCGCTTCCTAACGTCCTCCAAGTCTTGCCCGAGGGCTACTATGTGCTTGATTCATCCCTAGTTCCCACTGGTACCCTAGTTCCGCTATAACAATCTGGTTTCCCAATAACTAAAGGTAATTAATCTTTCGTTGAGATTAGGCTAGATCCTAACTCTTAGTAACGCGGGCAGATCTTCTGGAAGAAGTCTGTCACGTTAAGGAAAGCCTGAAAGCCTTTAGAGTCGATGATTAGCCCCTTAAAGTAACGCTCTAGAGAGCCTATAGGTCCTAGAGGCTCCCTTCGACTGTAAGGGTGGAGGATAGGCCACTGTTGCCTCCTCACTAGTGTCTTACGGCAGTAGACCAGGTGGTCCGCCTCTTTAGCCTCCCCGCATGAGCAGGTAAGCAGTGCTTCCGTGTGGTTAAAGCGTTGATGATACTGTTCAAAGTCCCCGTGGCCTGATCGAGCTGCTAGGAGATGGTGAAGGATAGCTCTCGGTAGAGCTAATTCAGGAGGGCAGCTAAGGGTGGCTTTAAGCCCCCGCTGGGTATACCGGGGGCTTGCTTCTTACAACAACTACTAATGCTAGCAAATTGTACTTCTGGCGTTATGACAGCAGGAGCGGTTCCTTTGTGACAGAGTAAGCGCTCTTTCCCATTGCCTTGGGTGCTTTCCAGGGCATGTCGGCTAGATGGGATAGCTACAACGGAACGGAGATACGTGGTTACCAGGACAGTCCTCCACCAATATATCGTCATCCACAAGTTCTGATTAAATGTGGACCTATCAATCCTCAAAGAACATCAGAACGGCGAAAATTCGTGTAGGGGCCTCAAGAACGCTCTTCATCTTTCAAAGATAAGTCGAGACGGGGTCACTCTGACTTCTTAATCCAGCAACAACAGGCAGCATCATAGATTTACTGGGCGTTGAGTATCCGGCTGTCCACCGAATGACCCCTCTGGCTGGCTACCTGGATCATTCAGAGTCTTTCGCTCGGTGGCTGCATAAGATGAGCTTTAAGTTCCGATACGTACGGAGGAAGTGTGAAAGAATGCTACAATCACCTCGAAAAACACTGATGCGATGCTTGCTTCAAGGGAAGGAGACCCTTTAGTCGTTCGTCATCAATATATAGCTCAGGTTGATGGCGCATACTGTAGCAAGACATCTTTTTTGTTATTACTGGAAACCAATATCTCAGGCTGGATAAATTATCTTAGTTAACCTACTTGATGCCTCTCGTCACATCACGCTGGTGTTGGTCCGCATCTCCCTACATCCGACCTGCAGTTCTGCCCTCTCTGGCTTGAAATTGATGGATGCCTTATCTCCGAGTGGTCTTTCTGAGCGAACACTAGGCACTCCAACGAGGATGAACAACTGCCCAGACAGTCTCTCCCTATAAGAACCTCTGCCGTATGCGTTGTAGCGTCTTGTGCATCAAAATCGTTCTTCAAAGGGTTTGAATGATGCCTGTAACTCTACCTTGTGACCAACTCAGACGGAGGTATCAGTCTCTGAGATCATCTTCGTAACTTACGCTCTAACCGAATAACCTCGTAAATGCGCGATAACCGGTCCTTCCGCATTGAAAGATACCGCTGAGACACGGTCGTTGCCAGGGTGCGTCTACCTTGACCACCTAGCAGACCGCTATATAACCCGTATAGAGCCCCCCCGACTCACGAGTAGTCTCTTCACGCTTCGATCACCGGTCTTCAATCATTGCATTTTCTCAGCCCGCCACAGTCGTATCTACAACACAGCTAGGCATGGACTTCCCTGCAATCTTTCTCTATAGAACTGCTCGAGTAGCAGTGCGGCACGCGGACGGAACCTTGATCATGACGGAGGGCGTAGACCAGCAGATTTTATACGTCACGCAGAATGGCACGATAGGCGGAACAGGCCATGTTGCTGGCTATCTGATGCAGCAGAACATGTTGAGTGTTCGAGCAGAAGTCATACGCTGCTCTATGCACCCCGTTTGCAACCACCTTTGGGAGATCAGCAGCAAACACTGGAAATTGTGAAGAGCCCCCGTTCGGTCCATTGACATCGACCTGTACCCTAACGAAATGCAGACGAGTGAGATTCACATCTCCTTGGCAGCCCTTTGCCCAGCTGGCCTGGGTGACTCTCCCCGACGGATACGGATGCACTGCCTGGGCTTATTTTGCTCACGCTCCTGGCGACGTGGTCGTGCGAATGGGACCCTCCGGCCGGATAGTTGACAAGGCCAGTCAGACGAGCATAGCCGGCCGCCGATCGCCCACAACCTGCTCGATCCACATCGATCGTATTGTTCGTGGTGATTCGATCGTTATTTTTCTACCAGATGACCCGGTGCTGGCTCCCGTGCTGTCGCTGGCATTCCCACCGAAGATTACAAGCTGGGGTTGGCAGGCAATGCAACCAACCCCGAGTCTCGTCGAGGAGGGCCCCTTAATTCAACAACAGACGGACGTGGCCGCCACTTTGTTCAAGGGTTCTTTCTACGCTGAGACACCTTCAACGACAGCAATCAGTACTTACAGTGGCACATATCTGGCGACTGCAGCAAATTCCGAAGCCAGTCCCCAGGCTTCCTGTCACAATCACCCAGCTCCATATGATCTCACGCGTTCGACACAACATCAGACGCCAAGACAGTATCGCTCTCCTTACATAGACGTGAAGCCGGCATCAAACTTGAAGCAGGCCGGACAGTCAGATGAGTCTCCAAATCAGCAGCCCCGCTATACTGCTGATCACGAAAATGCAGCCGGTGATGTGGACGACAGCTGTATTGTTGTTAAGCCGCTATATTGAAACGGTGTTGGACCTGTAATTTATGAGAAAGCTTGGAAGAAGACGTCGTCTTTCAGGAATATCTAGCTTATGCTCGATATCACGCCCAGGTAAACAGCACTCAAGTCTGTTAGTACTATAAATCAATAAATGACACAGTCTGCGAATTGCGTTTCATGTTGCGGAAAACGATATCTTGATCATCCTCAATTTCGATGCCTGGCGGCAGAATTGTATCTTCGCCACGATAAAAATTTCGACCTATACTGTGACGCTGTTGGGAATTCATAATGATTACACCGAGTTGCCTCGAAGAGGAAGCAGCCCGCGCCTTATGAAGGAGACGTGCCACTGTAAAAAGTAAGCCATGTGGATTCGCAAGTCATGTGATCCCAAGCAGAAAATACCGCGACTGAGGATATTTCTTCGGTTCCCAACTTAATAGTGGCTGCGCAAAAATCATTGTGTGGGAGGGTTTGTACTGGACGAAAACGCGTTAAGAACCACTTACCACCCCTGATAAAGACACAAAAACACCTGGGCCGGGCAATGTCCGCGTACAACAAGAGCTTAAATATGTCTTACTTACTGAAGTTCTACTTACGTCTACTCGCGTCCAGTTGTAGTTGAATTAACGTTCATCCATTAGGTATGGGCAGTAGTATTGCCGTGACAAGACCTCACCAATGCCCCCCACGACCGAGGCACATGCACCAACTTAAGCATGGGAAATGACCACAGTAGCCTAAGCAGTCAACTCCAAATTCATGAAAGCGTTGAATATTCATGAGATCTCCGAGGGGTTGACAATGCGTGCATGTGATTCTACGGATTTCGTGGGTGCATTGATCTCTCAAATCCTCCCTTCTTCTGGTTCCTAGCACCCGCTATTGCCTGGAATTTCCTCACTGATGAGCGCCCAGCGTGGTTTGGTGAGCATGCCCGGTGTGAAAGTCTCCTTGCTGCCTGGCGAGTCGAATATGCTTGAAAACTAGGTAAAGGAACCGCTGAATCCTTTGAGAACTCCTCGTGGCATGGCAGACGCGCGCAGAAGTTGGCGGCGTCCTCGGGGTTTTCTTCCCTCGCTTTAGGGCTGCCTTGCTCGTCTCCGCCCTCGCTTCCATCAACCCCTCGCCTCCTGTCTTTTCCATCTGCGATCTTTCCTGATCAGAGTTGATGTCGGTGGACCCTCCCTCCAGCTTTCCCAATCCGCTTTCATCAACTGGGCCCAAAACAGGTGCACAATTGCCGTCACCCTCCATTTCGAGCAGGTCATGCAAGCCAAACTCAAGTAAACCGACGAATGAGTCCTCCTCGCTCTGGTTGATTGCACTCGCAGTATCAGTACCACCCATGACATAGTCCTCCGTGCCGCAGACATCTTGGCCGAACTGTGCTGTCTCTGTAGGTAGCCTATGGTCTGCTAAGCTAATGGGGTCTTTGCCCGAAGGGGCCTCGTCTCGCTGGCAGTCTGACGCCGTATTGCCGAAGATGGCGACGCAATGCTCATCAGCCTCAATTTCGTGGGGAGCGTCCGCATCTTCATTCGTAACTCCATTCGTCCCTGCAACTTCGGTTACAACAAAATCAGGCTCTTCCTTCATGCTGCTTGCAACCTCTACCATTCTGGTGTTACCGGTCTCCATCAAGATTTGACTAGGTTCGGCATCGGTTGTCTTCCGTCGACGACGTGTGCCTCGGCGTTGGCCCACAAGCTCGTGCGTGCCGTTGACGACTTTCTCCAGCTGGTTCGAACGCACGTCAGTTTACGCGACACATGTAACAACGATCTGCTGCCGCGGCTTACAAACTGGTTCACGTCGGGCATACTTTGGCCCTCGGGGATGTAGACAGCTCCATCCAGTTGTCCATAGGTCGGATTGAAGTGAATGACGGCTGAAAACACTCGAGCCGCCTTGCCCAGCTGCACAGCCTTCCGTTTCGCGCTTGTCCCGCATTTCCGGACCTTCTCTTTAGCCTTTTTGTCGTAGGTGAAAACGGCCTCGTCCGGCACCACAGGAGCCATGTTCTCTTGACTTGAGTGATTTGAAGAGGTTTCCAGTTCGAATGTGATCTACAACATCACAATGACCGAGACTGGCTATTGGGACGTGACTGCATTGCCATCAAATACGACTTCTGTCGGACGGAAGCAATCATGGGCTTTGTTATGGGCTTCAATGTGAGCCAGTTTGCTTTCTCGCCACTTTTTCGTCCTCTTGCTGCTTTTGCATTACAGTATACCGTGATACCCTGTGCATCTTCGCAGTCACAATCAACACTGGGCTCCGGTTTCCAGGTATTCGAATGGGTATTCCGTCAAAGCTCAGCTGCTTTTGGCTGAGCTTGGTGGCTTGATAGGTAAACCCCAGTGTGTGGGCGCGCGCTCGAAGCTGACGCTGTTTGTATGTGGAAGCAAACAATGGCACTTAGCTTGTCCTGGTGACTAAGTTGATTTCACCAGCAGCCGATGATTGCTTTTCGAACGACGTAAGCTTTCAGCTGCGTAGCAGGGGTGTCCGTATCTTGCCACCTCGCTCGTTCGAAGATTTAAAAACGGCTTTAGATGTCATGTAGTCCTGGAAGTATGGAACCGGCGGTTGCGGCTGTGACTCAATGACAAGTACGCAGAACATTTCGGGAGCCGTCTGAGCCAACTTCACTGGCAACCACGTCGCGATGGGTTGCTGCCCCCAATGTCTCAGCATGCGTCCTTCCGTCCTGTCCTACTGCTGATCACTGACTTAGCCTCGGCACTCAATGTACGTTTGAAAGCCCTGGCTTTGATGGGGCGACGAGACGCACCAGATGTCACTGTCGTGTATATCTACAGTAGTGCAACGCACAGTTTACGGTAGATTTGCAGGTGAGGACAGATCGGAATCAGTCCTCTTGCTCACCCAAATCTTAAGTTCTAATGACTGTCACAAAATTAACTCGAGGACTAGCTATATGAATTTGTACTTTCAGGCTTAGCGTGACCAGAATTGAATGAAGATGCTTCCTCATTTAAGACGAATTGGGTAGCTGCGAAGAACTTTACCACTCGAGGAAGAATAGCGCCATGGCCGTCCTGAAAGACTCAAAACTTCAATACGTTCAATGGTCAGCTTGAGTCTTTGGCAAATGCTGACATTGGGATATTGCATAATCTGGACTGTCAGAGGCCTGGAGCCAGCAGCTTCGACGAGGTTTGTTCTGTCAAAGATCATGCGCTTCATGAAGCTGACATCGAACAATATCCACAACACGGGTCGATATGTGTGAGCACAAAGACCCATGGCATATGGCGGGCGATTGTCTTCGACTATCCGAGTGTCGACTGCGCCATAAGGGGAGAGGAATATTTATCTCCAGGGTCGTTCATGATTATTGCTCGGTTTATACGATTGCCAACTACTCGAGCTATCCATCACTCACATAAATGTCTTAGAGATACAGGCAGCAGCCAGGATATATAATATACAAACCCACTGGTCCCCAGGGCACCAAGGGATAAAAGGAAACGAAGAGGCTGACAGCCTAGCTAAGGAGGGCACAACGCTGCCAGTCCCCAGAGGCCTACTAG